CTTAAGAAAAAACCTGCAGAAGTGTACAGTCCTTGGGGGTTTAAGCTCGGACTTCAAAAAGATTCTCATGATGATGTTTGGATAACAGAGGTGTTTGGTATGGTTTGTTTCCTCTAAATAACATCTACAATTGGTTTTCAATGCCAAGCCTCATTAAGAACTTTTTTTTAAAAAAAAAAAAAGAGTACAGATGGACTTCTATTTATAATTAGGCATTTAATTGCGGAGCGTTATTTAAGACTTGAAAGACTTGATAAAGATGGAAGAGGAGGCAAGATGGCGCTAATATGACGCAGCATGGAAAAATATATTCCTCCCTTTCTCCAAGGAAAGCAGGAGTTATGTGCTGGCTGATTTTGCAATTATTTAAGATAACAACTTGGAACAATATACAGTGCAGATCAATAAAATGATTAAAAGAAAAAAGAAAAGAGGATCCCTGCTGGATCACGTCAAACGCTCATTTAGTACAGATTTTTGTTCTCAGGGAGCGGAAGCAGATACTTGAGGGAAACCCAGAAAACAAGGTACGAGCCGAGTAGCCTATCCCACCTTCAGCATCTGTTACTAAGAGGATTAATGGCTGCTATTCAGGGGGAAATATAGCCATCATGACTAGTTGTCTTCATTCGCTTATAACACTAGAATTGGTGGGCATGCAATGAAATGGAACAATAGAAAATTCAGGATAGATTTTTTTTTTTAATGATATTTATTGAAGGATTTTTTTTTTTAAGTTACAAAAGAAAACAAAGTAGAAAAAGAGAAAAACAAGCCACTTCCAGCCATACAAATACACAAAATAAGAGAGAGAGAAAACAAAAATACACCACAAAAATTTAAAAACAATTAAAAACAAATCCATTATTTTCAACTCCTCAACTGTCATTACCCTCTTTCCTTGACCTCCTCCTCCTCCCCTTCCTTGTGTCCTGGTTGTTAATTGTCACAGCACATCCTTTCCATATTTCATAATATTCTGTCATTACATTACCTTAAACTATTTTAATCTTATCTTACTATAAAAAACCTTGGAACTTAAAACTTAAATCTTATTTTCACCAACTTTTCATAACCATAATATTCTTACATAATTCTTTAAACATTTTTACTAAAGCCAAATAATTTCATTCCAACATTTTTCTAACATTCATCAATTTTATAAAACAGTCCTAGTGATGAAAAAAAGAAATAAAAAACAAATCCAATCTTCATCCAGCGTCCCTTCCTCTTGGTCCCGGGTTTGTCAGTCCTTATTATCCCATCGATCTGGCGCATTAACCTGGTGACCTTATATCCGAGGCCCTTAAGTCTCTTCCATGTCCCTTCCGTAGCTCTTTTTCATATTTGTAACTGTATTTTCCCTTGTCTCCTGCTCTGTTTCACTCGTGGGAACTCCAGCTTAGCAATATTTTTGACCCTTCTCGACAGATCAGCCCCTTTTCCATAATCGACACTAAATTCCATGTGGTATTTAAAAACATGTTTCAAAACCCTCCAAAATTGAGAGCCCCACAATCCCAAACATCTCACGGCCCATTGCCAGACTTGAAAAGTCCAAAATCCCTGCATAGGAGGGTCTATCCAACCCCCCATTTCCAAACCAAACCAAACTTTTTCTTTCCAAATCTGGCTTTTCCAAGTTCATTTGTCAAATCCGAAAGCTCATATTCCTGTTGGGCCTGTTCTGTCAGGGCACACTCCTGATTTAATTCCTGGGTGGGCTCCACATATTTTCCCACTGCCTATTCAAAATTTCCCACTGCCTGTTCAAAATTTCTAATCGAATCAGCCGTCAAATTCGTCTTCTCATGTAGCTGTTCCAGTAGGGCATTTGTTTTATAGAAAGCACAGAACAGAGCTTCTGAATACATTGTCCTGCAAGGTCAGATGTCTATTCCCACGATTGTAATCTGTAACAGCTGCCAGCTCCCAGGAGTTGGTTACAGTTTCACAGTCTCCCTCTAGGGGGAAAACTTCTATTTGATCTTTCTTTTAAAGACAAGTCTAGCAACAGAGTTTCCTTTTTTCAGATATTTTGTCAATATTTGTTCCTTTAAGGTGCGAAAGGAAACAATGGAATCACTATGTTCCTCTTCTTTTAGCTATCTGTCAAAAGCGTTTGTCTCTGGTCAATGAGCTTCAAACGTCAGTCCTGACACCCCGCTCCAGGATCAGGACGGTGGAAAGTTACTTTACTTTAAACTCACTTCTGCAGGTTTAAACAGTCCAAAAAAGATCCCCCTTCTTCTAAAAAGATCCCCCTTCTTCTGAAAATTCAGGATAGATTAAAGCAAAAATAGCCTCACACATTTAATTAATCTTGTGAATTTGGTAGCAAAAGAAGTAATGGTGGCCAACAACTAGGGTATGTTAAATTTTGGATTACCCGTTTCCTCCATGAATATGTCTATAGGTGGCTACTAAACCTGATGGTTATGTTCTACCTTTGCTGTTGGGGCAGTATGGCTCAGAAAGTCTCTTACTGTAAACCAGCAGTGGGGAGAGTGGTGTCGCTCTCAGGTCCTGCTTGCTGGCTATGCACAGGCATCATGTTGGGCACGGTGGAAATAGTTTTCTGGAGTAGATGGTCTAATGCAAGTTCTGTCCAGGGTGATGCAAGTTCTCTCCAGCTGAAATTTACAGGAAATCTGCTAACAACAGCCAAACTCTTAATTACCTTGAAGTGGTCCCATGCAGTGCACCTGCTGAAAAAGTGTGGTTTCATAATTTTATCTCATTCGAGCCAACTGCTCATGTGGCTGAGTGAAGGAAGCCAAAAGCAAGAACAGGTTGAGACACTATGGAGACCTTTTCTTATCTGCTCCTGGGGTTGAGAACCCCTGGCCTGGGAGGCAAGGGCAGCCCCTACCTACCTCTCTATCTTGAGTTTCACTAAACAAAACGAGAGGAAACTTTTATAGACAACACAGCCCCTTTATCATTTATATGAACCTGGACTGTTGATACTCCTTTTCTTATCTGGTTTACTTATTCCATTCTACCTCCCAGTGGAACACAGGCTGGTTATTCAAATGGTTTGTCATAGTGTTTATCATGAAAGATTGCAGAGGAAGCTTCTATGTCATTGGATAAGAAGGCATTTTTAAAAACAGAAAAAGGATATTTACAACTTCGTACCAAATATAGCATGTATACGTATATCATACGACTTCCCTTCCACGCTTTTCCTGGTTCCTTTGCTTTTCTACTACTCTGTGTAATCCACATCTTTTTAATCATCCAATTTATTATATATTAGTTACTCAATCTAAATCAACTGTGCTGGATTTACTCAAGACCTGCTAAGCTATGTATTTGTCAGAACAGCCAGTTCAGCATATTCGAACATTATACACTGCCATTCTTCCTTAGAGGGTTCTAGCTGTGGCAGTGGCGTATAGTAATAAACACTTTCGTATACTGGGAACAACAACAACAGAGTTGTGGAGTCTAGCCCACGAGTGGGGCACTGCCTTCCCACTGAAAATGTCAAGCAATTTAAGGAAAAAAATGTGCTCTCAAATGTTAGAGGGAGTCCTTGAAGCACCCCACTATTGCCTAACCTTGTCTCCCACAAGTTCAGGTAGGAGGTCACTAGTAGGAGACTTCAGCCAGGAGATAGAAGCAAAACAGTGGCCTGTAGGTCCGATCTTCATGGTTGCAACAAGACTTCCAGCTACCACAAAGATGAAGCAACAAGAAGACCAGAACAATAGTTGCATCAGTTTATAAAAGTTTCTCAAAGTTTCCCATATTACATTTCCAGAAGAATCATCAAACATTGTATGTCACAGAGAAGGTGAGGTGTCAGGCAGAAACCTGAGATCCAGACATGCCCCATCATTCATGTTCAAGTACCCACTTCTCACAAGTTAATGAAAACATCTACATATCCTTTTGTCAGGAAGGCTTCCCTTGGTATGATTTTGGTTCTTCCTGAGTCTCATTTCCTTCTCATAGCACCTAGTCTGGTCCCTTTGTCAGGGCTGTTAACACCTGGTTTGGCAAATGAGCGGGGTATCCTCAGTATGTGATGGTACATCTTGAGGATTATGGCGTCCCTGCTCTATTCCTGCCACGAGTCAGGTCCTCTCCCCTTCATCATTGGATCACAATTTTATCACCTTTTGGAACCAAATAAAATCCTTCATTTGACGAATTTGGGTGAATTTCTGTGTTTCAGAAAGTGGGGTTTCCTTCCTTATTATGTCTAATCTATTCCTTATTATTATGTCTGAGGAACGGCTAAGGGAGCTGAGCATGTTTAGCCTGGAGAAGAGGAGGTTAAGGGGTGATATGATAGCCATGTTCAAATATATAAAAGGATGTCACATAGAGGAGGGAGAAAGGTTGTTCTCTGCTGCTCCAGAGAAGCGGACACGGAGCAATGGATCCAAACTACAAGAAAGAAGATTCCACCTAAACATTAGGAAGAACTTCCTGACAGTAAGAGCTGTTCGACAGTGGAATTTGCTGCCAAGGAGTGTGGCGGAGTCTCCTTCTTTGGAGGTCTTTAAGCAGAGGCTTGACAACCATATGTCAGGAGTGCTCTGATGGTGTTTCCTGCTTGGCAGGGGGTTGGACTCGATGGCCCTTGTGGTCTCTTCCAACTCTATGATTCTATGATTCTATGATTCCAATGGAGGGAAATGTGTAGAGATCAGTGGTATATGTAATATTACGTAGCATAACCTTGCTTTGTTGTCATCAAAAGTTATGGTAGTGGGGTATGTGGCAACATGGGATGGGGAGCTCTCCAAATGGGTGACTGCATGGACCGCCTGATATTCAGCCCAGCTAGGAAGCCCAGACTCTATCTGTTAGTATGAAGCCTATCCAAAACAGGTATGAGAGGAGTCATGGCATACCCTCCAACATTCCTCAGATGAGAAGAGGAACATTCTCTTTTATATCAGTATCATGAAATCATAAAATTGTAGCCCTGGAAGGAAACCTGATGATCATTTAGTCCAGCCCCCTGTAATGCTGGAATATTTTGCCCAATGTAAGGTTTGAACCCACAAACCTGAGATTAAGAGTCTCATGCTCTACTGACTGAACTATCCTACTGCCGGAGCATTTCCTGCTGGTTACAGAAACTTTTCAAGGAAACACAAAAAACCACAGTATTTTAAGTACAGAAATCTTAAATAAAAAATAGAGGAACCACTGAAAACTGTAGTTTTTTGTTTTTTTGCTATTAGGGAAGCATGAGGGAAAAATAAAACTGCAAATTAACAAAAGTTCCTAACAATGGGATGAACTACATGATAAACAACTTTGACAAGGATCAGTTGGCAGTGAGTATGCTTGAGAATACGTGCATGTATGTGTTAGGGACTGCAATTTTGATGTGTACAATAAAAGTGTTTTAGTGAGTTGCAAAAAGAAAAGAAAAGAAAGAAAGAAAAGAAAGAAAGAAAAAGCTTTGCCATCCAACTGTCTCCTCCAACTGCCTACAAGGAATTATTTCTAAAAGGAAGTGCTTTGCCTCTTTAAAATCACATGGTGAGTGGTAGTCAAAGAGGCTCTTTACATGTGCTCAGATGCACCTTTCTTACACAAAAGCATGACATAAGGCTTTGTTGCAGCAGTAAATGAAACCCCCAAGAACCAAATGTGTTTTTTCCTCATTTAGAGGTTTTGCTATTGCCTCCAGGCCCTGCTTCCCATAGGCATCCAATTTAACAACACAATATCAGTATGGATGGCCTGAACCTGCAGGCTCCTCTTATAATCTTATGTTCTTCATAAATATATATGCATAAAGAAACACACACACTGTCATTTGCTGTCAGAACCTTATGCAAATTTTCTTCTTGGGGGGCTCTGGGAGCTGTAATGCTATCTTCTAACAGGAAATCTGATTGGGTTTCACTGAAAATCTTCAAATGATTTTTTGAAGAATGCTTAAAAAGGCCAAACCCTGCTTAAAAACTAAACTGAACACATAATCTGGGCTATAGTTTAAGAACCTGGAGTTGATTTTGGGATGACACGTGTTAGGAGCAGATTTTGAGATGGCCTGATCCTGCAGGCTGGTATAAGTTCTGGTCCCTAGAAGCTGAAATGGAATCTGAGAGCAGCCCAAATCGTAATTGCAGCAAAGTGGTGATCACACCGTGTACCTGTTGAAAAAAAAGTGGTTTCATAATTTTGTCTAAAATGACCAAGCTCTTCATTGGGCTAGGTGAGGAAAACCAAAAGAAAGAAAACTTTTGAATACAATGGAGCCTATTTATAATCTGAACCAGGATGCAGCGGCCTCTGTCCTATGTGCCTCTTTATCTTGTGACCCACTAAGCAAAAACCTCTACCTAGGCTAAAACCTTCATTGTTCTAAAGTTGCCATATATCCAGGAAAAACCAGGCTTATCCTGGGTAGCATAGTTACCAGCATTCCTCAGATCAAAATAGGGACATTCTATTCTACATTAGTATCACTGCTGTGACAAAGCTCCTCCCCCCTCATTAAGAATATTAAAGCTTTTCATGGTCTCACGTTTTTCCCCAGTCCAACACACAGAAGGATTTGTTGTTGTTGTTTAGTCGTGTCCGACTCTTCATGACCCCATGGACCAGAACAAGCCAGGCACTCCTGTCTTCCACTGCCTCCCGCAGTTTGGTCATGCTGGTAGCTTCGAGAACACTGTCCAACCATCTCGTCCTCTGACGTCCCCTTCTCCTTGTGCCCTCAATCTTTCCCAACACCAGGGTCTTTTCCAGGGAGTCTTCTCTTCTCATGAGGTGGCCAAAGTATTGAAGTCTCAGCTTCAGGATCTGTCCTTCCTCACAACAACCCTGCACTACAGCACTTAGGGATGATGAATGGGCATGTGGCTAGTCAGGTGGGATGTTGACTGGGACCTCTCTGCCCAGCAACTTTACCGCCAGCGCCACCTTTGATGTCTTTGGAATCATCTACCGTGCATCCTCCTCCATGAGATTGACCACACGCAGGTGGGGAAATTGGGACATTCCAGGATCCAATCAGAAGTTGGGATGGGATTTCTTTCAAATCAGAACTAGTGAAGGCGGTGAAGGTCCTGTGTGAGTGTCTGGAGGTGGTTGGAGGATGGATGGCGGCTAACAGATTGAGGTTGAATCCTGACAAGACAGAAATACTGTTTTGGGGAGACAGGAGGTGGGCAGGTGTGGAGGACTCCCTGGTCCTGAATGGTTTCACTGTGCCCCTGAAGGACCAGGTGCACAGCCTGGGAGTCATTCTGGGCTCATGGCTGTCCATGGAGGCACAGGTCAACTCTGTGTCCAGGGCAACAGTTTATCAGCTCCATCTGGTACGCAGGCTGAGACCCTACCTGCCTGCGGACTGTCTCGCCAGAGTGGTGCATGCTCTAGTTATCTCTCGCTTGGACTACAGTGGTGCCTCATAATTTTGTCTAAAATGACCAAGCTCTTCATTGGGCTAGGTGAGGAAAACCAAAAGAAAGAAAACTTTTGAATACAATGGAGCCTATTTATAATCTGAACCAGGATGCAGCGGCCTCTGTCCTATGTGCCTCTTTATCTTGTGACCCACTAAGCAAAAACCTCTACCTAGGCTAAAACCTTCATTGTTCTAAAGTTGCCATATATCCAGGAAAAACCAGGCTTATCCTGGGTAGCATAGTTACCAGCATTCCTCAGATCAAAATAGGGACATTCTATTCTACATTAGTATCACTGCTGTGACAAAGCTCCTCCCCTCATTAAGAATATTAAAGCTTTTCATGGTCTCACGTTTTTCCCCAGTCCAACACACAGAAGGATTTGTTGTTGTTGTTTAGTCGTGTCCGACTCTTCATGACCCCATGGACCAGAACAAGCCAGGCACTCCTGTCTTCCACTGCCTCCCGCAGTTTGGTCATGCTGGTAGCTTCGAGAACACTGTCCAACCATCTCGTCCTCTGACGTCCCCTTCTCCTTGTGCCCTCAATCTTTCCCAACACCAGGGTCTTTTCCAGGGAGTCTTCTCTTCTCATGAGGTGGCCAAAGTATTGAAGTCTCAGCTTCAGGATCTGTCCTTCCTCACAACAACCCTGCACTACAGCACTTAGGGATGATGAATGGGCATGTGGCTAGTCAGGTGGGATGTTGACTGGGACCTCTCTGCCCAGCAACTTTACCGCCAGCGCCACCTTTGATGTCTTTGGAATCATCTACCGTGCATCCTCCTCCATGAGATTGACCACACGCAGGTGGGGAAATTGGGACATTCCAGGATCCAATCAGAAGTTGGGATGGGATTTCTTTCAAATCAGAACTAGTGAAGGCGGTGAAGGTCCTGTGTGAGTGTCTGGAGGTGGTTGGAGGATGGATGGCGGCTAACAGATTGAGGTTGAATCCTGACAAGACAGAAATACTGTTTTGGGGAGACAGGAGGTGGGCAGGTGTGGAGGACTCCCTGGTCCTGAATGGTTTCACTGTGCCCCTGAAGGACCAGGTGCACAGCCTGGGAGTCATTCTGGGCTCATGGCTGTCCATGGAGGCACAGGTCAACTCTGTGTCCAGGGCAACAGTTTATCAGCTCCATCTGGTACGCAGGCTGAGACCCTACCTGCCTGCGGACTGTCTCGCCAGAGTGGTGCATGCTCTAGTTATCTCTCGCTTGGACTACAGTGGTGCCTCGCAAGACGAAATTAATCCGTTCCGCGAGTCTCTTCGTCTTGCGGTTTTTTCGTCTTGCGAAGCACGGCTATTAGCGGCTTAGCGGCTTAGTGGCTATTAACGGCTTAGCGGCTTAGCAGCTTTAAGAAAAAGGAAACAAACTCACAAGAACTCGCAAGACATTTCGTCTTGCGAAGCAAGCCCATAGGGAAATTCGTCTTGCGGAACGACTAAAAAAACGGAAAACTCTTTCGTCTTGCGCGTTTTTCGTCTTGCGAGGCATTTGTCTTGCGAGGTACCACTGTACTGCAATGTGCTCTGTGTGGGGCTACATTTCAAGGTGACCCATAAACTACAACTAATCCAGAATGTGGCAGCTAGACAGGTGACTGGGAGAGCCCACAGAGACCACATAACACTGGTCTTGAAAGACCTACACTGGCTCCCAGTACGTTTCCGAGCACAGTTCAAAGTAATCCAGAATGTGGCAGCTAGACAGGTGACTGGGAGAGCCCACAGAGACCACATAACACTGGTCTTGAAAGACCTACACTGGCTCCCAATACGTTTCCGAGCACAGTTCAAAGTGTTGGTGCTGACCTTTAAAGCCCTAAATGGCCCCGGTCCTGTATACCTGAAGGAGCATCTCCACCACCATCGTTCTGCCCAGACATTGAGGTCCAGTGCTGAGGGACCTCTGGCCGTTCCCTTGCTGTGAGAAGCCAAGTTACAGGGAACCAGGCAGAGGGCCTTCTTGGTAGTGGAACCCGCCCTGTGGAATGCCTTCCCACCAAATGTCAAAGAGAAAAACAACTACCAGACTTTTAGAAGACATCTGAAGGAAGCCCTGTTTAGGGAAGCTTTTAATGTTTAATAGACTATTGTATTTTAATATTCTGTTGGAAGCTGCCCAGAGTGGCTGAGGAAACCCAGCCAGATGTGCGGGGTATAAATAAATTATTATTATTATTATTATTATTATTACTACTACTACTACTATACTATTTCTGAGACATTCATGGAAATTGGGACACTTGGAGGGTATGGGATGGAAGAGTATCCATATCTACTGACACCTCCAACTTTTGTGTTGATAGAATGCAGTCTCCTGTCACATCCATTACAATGGCCACATTTCCATTTTCACAGAATAGAATCATAGAATCATAGAGTTGGAAGAGACCACAAGGGCCATCGAGTCCAACCCCCTGCCAAGCAGGAAACACCATCAGAGCATTCCTGACATATGGTTGTCAAGCCTCTGCTTAAAGACCTCCAAAGAAGGAGACTCCACCACACTCCTTGGCAGCAAATTCCACTGTCGAACAGCTCTTACTGTCAGGAAGTTCTTCCTAATGTTTAGGTGGAATCTTCTTTCTTGTAGTTAGGATCCATTGCTCCGTGTCCGCTTCTCTGGAGCAGCAGAAAACAACCTTTCTCCCTCCTCTGTGTGACATCCTTTTATATATTT